GGGGGGAATATATATTCTACATATGGAAATATCACAATGAATCTACCCAGATTATATAATTAATATATGACAATAAAAATGTGAAAAAAGCATAAAGGGATTTAATGAAATAAAAAGAAATTTAGAGCAGAATGTACACAGCCATGCATTCTAACACAGCAAGTACACAGGACTAGAGTAAAGCTTTGAAATAAGTAAAGCCTTTGTATTTAACAGGAATTTCAGGGTCACAGAAAAACTGAGAAGAGTAGAGCTTTCTCAAATACCTTCTGCCCCAAAAATGCGTATCCTCACCAGTGTAAACTCCCCCATCAGAGTGGCACATATATTACAAATGATGAACCAACACTGGCAGATCCTTATCTCTCAAAATCCATAGTTTACATTAAGATTATTCTTACTGTTGTACATTCTACAGGTTTGAGCAAATTTGTAATAACAAATTTCATTACAGTATGATACAAATTATTCATTTCCACTAATAAATACTGTATAAAAATATAACATAATAGTATGGAAATTGTCATTTGTCCAATAATTACTAGTATCGCATGCTATTCCTATACTTTCTGGTTATCTATCACCGTCAAAAATATTAAGAAGTACATAAATAAATTTAGCTTTCTTCAAGACCTCCAGTTCTTAAGGAAAACTAAACTAAAATGGAAACACTAAGCAAATCAGAATCAAGGAATTTTAGGGTTAGAATAGAATTTAAATATAAATCTCTGGTCAAAACTTTTCATTACATTGCTCTTAAATCTTCTTTCAATTTAGATACTGTTTAGTATATAGGTATATGAGCTACTACAAGTACCCTGCCTACCTCACCAAGAATTACTTAAGGTAATAAAATGACCCCTAATAATATATAGCATAAACGATACTTCACTTGTTAGTTTTGAAACTAACAATGAAAAACGATAGCATGAGCCCAACACTGCCATGTATGGAGGCTAGCAACTCATGGTCGACAAAATTCACAAATCTAAGTACTATGTGACTTTCTGTGACTTCTATTATGTTAAGTTACCAATCTTACTACACAGTTTGCACTCACATTTATGGCACTCTAACAAAACCCAACAGCCCCCATTCTCAGAAAGGTCAGAGAAGAAATACCACAATTTCTTAGAAAGAATGCCAAATGGTTACATTACCTCTTAATTTAAAAGACAGCCTTTATGCAAATTCCTTTTGAACTTCTTTCACTTGCTTATATTTACTTATTGTGCATACTTCTGTATTTTAAATTCTCTAGAAGATCACATGGAAAATAGGCTACAAAGCACTAAAGACTTAACGTTTAATTTTTATCCTAAAAGTAAGGGTTTAGAGGAGCTTTTACTTCTATTTCTTTCATGGGGAGCAGGAAATGTTTCTCTTTTTTTTCCCATTTGTCTCCACTCTTATCCTGCTATACTAAATTCCTTCCCTAATAAATGTTACTATTATCTATTATTTTTACTATAAAAAAGAAAAATAAGTGTTTAGGTTACTAGCCTATTCTAGACATTCAACTATATCCTCCTTCAAAATTGAAAGTATGACTGTAAAGCAGTTTTCAGGTTTCACAGAAATACCTAGCCTCAGAAATTTTTCAATGTAAGGACAAAGAGAAGAAAATGGTGAGGGAAACAGGAAAGAATGAAATTCTGTATTTTATAGTGATATTACAAGCTTTCCAATTTAATCAGCAGGTATTTATAATGAAAACTATAGAATAGTGATAAAAGATACATAAAGAATCAAAATAACAAGACCCCAACACTAAAATCAAAATACTGATTTTGTACAACTAAAAACAGGGCTAGCCAATGTATTCAATATTCTCTGAAGGAAGAAAAACTGCTCCAAAAGGAATTATATAGACAAAAAAGAGCTGCAAAAAAGTAGAGCTGAAAAAAAACTTAATACAGTTAGTTATAAAACATTACCTCAGACACAAGTTTCAGATCATTGTGTTTACTTTATTGAGTAATACTGATATAGGAAAAGGCCAAAACTTAAAGCAATAATATCTAATTAGTGCTATGAAATATAAAACCTGAATCTAAAGCTACGTATCTGTGGGGGTCATTATTCCATTCCATTTGAAGGTGGGCACAGAGTCATAATCTTAAATCCAAATTTGGATAAAATAAAAAATCTATAATCTCTTCCTCAAGCACATGCAGTTGAAGCTTCAAAACAGCTTCCTTTTTCTTAGCTTAAATGACTTGAATGGATAAAGCAAAGAAATTGTAACAAGACTGGTCAGACTGAGACCTGAATCTAATCTCTGGAAATGGCAAGGGCAATGAACACCAAAAATAAAGATCTGGCCTATGTGACTACATATCAACAACCCTCAGAAAGATCCAAGTATTAGGGGTGTTACAGAAGTATATGAGGCAGGACTCTGTCCTCCAGTTACTTAAACACCAGCAAAGTAATTGAGTCCATAGTGACATCTACACTTTAAAACTGGTAAACAGAAAGACAATCTGGTCAGTGAATAGGGATTCCACCCTTACAGGCATGCTCCATTATCCTCCCCAGAAGAAAGCTAACAAAAAGTTACTATAATGTCACATAAGAATTTAGTTATTTATTGTCTGAGATTGGGTGAAACAATACTTAGGTTACTTTCCTTCCAAAATATTCTTGATTCTTAGCATTATGATATAGCATAATCATATTCTCTCTTTTTAAGATGGCCCAAAAGACCAAAAATCGTATGTTCTCCCACATATGCAGACATTAGATCAAGGGCAAACACAACAAGGGGATTGAACTTTGATCACAAGATAAAAGCGAGTGCACACAAGAGAGATATGAGGATAGGTAAGACACCTAAAAAATTAGCTAGCATTTGTTGCCCTCAATGCAGAGAAACTAAAGCAGATACCTTAAAAGCAACTGAGGCCAATAGAAGGGGACCAAGAACTAGAGAAAAGGCTAGATCAAAAAGAATTAACCTAGAAGGTAACACACATGCACGGGAAACCAATGCGAGTCAACTCCCTGTATAGCTATCCTTATCTCAACCAGCAAAAACCCTTGTTCCTTCCTATTATTGCTTATACTCTCTCTTCAACAAAATTAGAGATAAGGGCAAAATAGTTTCTGCTCAATATCGAGGGAGTGGGGGGCAGAGGGAGGGGGCGGAGTGGGTGGTAAGAGAGGGGATGGGGGCAGGGGAGAGAAATGACCCCAGCATTGTATGCACGCATGAATAATAAAAAAATAAAAATTAAAAAAAAAAGATGTATCTTTTTAAAACATATACATACCACATGTAATTCTCACATATATCTTATAAAGATGAACAAAACATGTTCAAAACCACTTACCATAAAAGGAAACAATTAAAAAGTAGTATTTGTTTGCAAAATCATATGTCCCTAAATATGCTATAAATTCCTAAATATAGGAATATTTGATTTTCTAATGAGTAACTTTTACCTTCACAAAGCATGTTACATAAGTACTTTCTTTTTAAAGCACATCACATAATACTAGCACAGTTGATGAGAACCAACTTTAAAATCAGTATGGAAAGTCTAGTCCTGGCCTTGGCTCTGCCATGCAAAGAACAATGGGATCTTGGACAACAGGACTGTTCAATTTATTAGCACAGGAGCCAGGCAATAACTGTGGATGGAACAGAAAACGCTGAACATCTTAGTAAACTGGATTAGATTAGATGGTCTCTAAATTCTAAATTTATTTCTAATTCTGCAGGGTGAATTAGAGGACATTATCAATCACACTGATTCTATAAGACTTTACATTGGCTCATACAATGGAATAGGACCTGTCTAGTAAGAACTAGATATATTTACACAGACCTGCAGAAGCAGAAACTTGGAACTGTTTTAAAGATGTTCTGTATTTCCTTGGAATATGTAACCTAATTAATCATACCAAAATATTTTTTGGGCCTACTAATGCAGAGCCTTCTTAAGTAGGATATATGACCTCTGACATCAAATATTTTTTGGACTATGAAGAGTGTCCATATTTTCTTCCCTTTTTCCCTCCATACCCAAAGTGAATACCAGCAATGAATCCTTTAATTTACAGTCACCAGATCTCTACATTACACTGAGATGTAGCTATACATAATGACATAAATTTTCATCATGCAAAGCATATTGCTCATTTGTCCTTCAGGTTTTTAACTTTGATAGCAAGGAAACTTAATATTTTATCATCAGTGATTGTTGAAGAATAAAGGAACTGCTACTCTCACAATTGATAGCATCTAGTTCAACACTATTCTGAGATCACCCCAGTGATGCAATCTGTCAGGTCATCACGTTTCAGAGTGTTCTTATTGCTCTTGAAAGCTAACATAATTTCTAAGAAAAATTAACATAGAACATAACAGAATGACATAGTAGATTAATGGAACAGAAATCAAACATTGGATGCAAGTTAAATTCCAACACAATTTTTACCAAAAACAATTTAAACCAAGAAAAATCTGGGTCTGCAAAATGCAGGATCTTTTTTTTTAAGAAATAATCTCTTTCAAGCTCATGGCAATGCCCGGTATAGAGCACTCTAAAATTTGTTAATGTATTATTAATCAAGGTAAATGAGTGGAAGAAAAGTCTCATGATAGTATGAAAGTTAGAGATGAGCATGGTTACTTCAGGGGTCAGTGGGGACCCACGCCTTGATGATTACACAGAATATTTATTTGTAAGGACTGCAAAAATAGCACTGGGCAGGAAAATAAAACAAAATTTTCAGGCCTTGAAAATGTAAATGTGGACTTGGTAAACTAAAAGGCCCACGAGACTCCAATGTAGAAAACTATTACACAAAATTTACTTAACATTTATTTCTGCAGTGGCAACAGAGCTGGCATGTCAGATGATCTGGAAAAGGCAAAATACAACAACAGGAAAGTGTAGAATAGTACAGAAGAACAAGTGAGCAAGCTTATCTTTCCATTAGGTTTAAAGGTGAAAGGAGGAATAAAGCAATAATGAAATTAAGATACTTACTGCTGTCCACGCATTTCTTTTACACCGCGCACACAGCCATCCTTCACAGATCTCATGAGAAGGAACACCATAACAACCTAGAAAATTATAACATGAATCCTCCATTAGGTCTCTTGTATCTTTAAAATGTTACATTTCACAAAAAAGTAAATAAATAAAGTCAGGACAATGGTCTACTGTACTGTTTGTACAGCTTAGGAAAAAACATACACAAGTCTGTCTCAAAGTAACTTTTATTTCTAATGCTTCATAATAAGATATCAGAGTGTGTGTGGCTCTTAACGCTAACTAATGCTCACATTAAGATAATCTTTGAATGAACAATAACTAAACTTCTAAACTGTCAAGTCTAGTCTTTCACTTACACATAAAAAATAAGATGCAATTCATGAAGCACTTTTGTGAAATATTAAAATAAATAAATTTTGACATATTATTTTTGGAATTAACATAACTTAAAATTACATGTCAAAATTAAATACAGTTGGCTTTAATTTCAGTAATGAGATGAAGGCTACACAGTCCATGATTACTGATGAAAGGATGTCTTCAGTTCAATTTGTCTGGTAAGTCAATGCCTGGCCCAAACTAACTAAGGAGATGATTGATGGTGCAAATATATGCAGTAATTATATGGCACCTAGAAACATGTGACTAGGGTTGATCCCCAGCATGAAAGAAAGAAAAAAATTAAGATGGCTAAACTGGCATCTGCATGTAATCACAGGACTCAGAAAGATAAGGAAGGAAAATGCTAGATTCAAGTCCAGCATGATGGCTATACAGTTAAAACCCAGTCTCAAAAGGAAAAACAAGAAAAGGAACAGAAAGGAAAAGAGCACATTTTATCATCACTTTCTGAAAAAAGAGGGTTTTGAAATATTTAAAAGATTAATTTTTGACATAAGATTTCAGTAAAAAAGCATAAAATACTAAGTTCAAGCACATGTTTATAAAATATTGTGACTAGACTACATAGCTGGCAAATTCAGGAATCAAGATTAAATCTCCATTTCTTGTGTCCAAGTGCTTGGTCTCTTGAATGTACATAATAATGAATTTTATGTGTATGTATGTGCATGTTACAAATTGATATTAATACAAGAAGAGTGCTACTATTTTTTAAGCAAGTGATGCTCAAATTATTTGGGGAAGCACCTGGTATCTAATTAACTCTGGTATAAAACTATCATTGTTCCAGCCTAAACAAAGAAGATGATAGCTATATCATAAACCATTCAAACTACACTGGGATTAACAGACCAGACATAGTATGTTCACAGAATATGTAATTAAGGGCAAAGGACATAGCACACTGGCAGACTGCTTGCATGGATTGCATGAGGCCCCAAGTTCAATTCCAAAACAACAAAAAAATTTTTTTCTTAAAAAAAGAATACAATTTTTGAAAAGGCAAAAAAATAAAGAAAAATACATAGTTCAGTAAAATCTGAAATTATAAAGTGCTTTAAAACAAAGTTGTAGTATATAATAGGTTTTTCAATGTCTTCAATAGAACTTACATGGCAAGCCAATTTTTTACAGATGTACTTACCACTTATCCACCTGTGTAAAATTAACAAATGATTCAGATATGGAGCTTAACCATCTCATTCCAGGGGAAAAATTATTGTAATGACTATAACCCCCTGAAAAACAGTACAGACTACCTTATGAAGTATAATTCTCAGAATTACTAAGGGAATATTCATTTTTCTTTTAAAAAGTCACAAAGAAATATAACCATCAATCAGTATTGAACATTCAAATTCAATTTTTGTATCTTAAATAAAATTCAAATATGTGAAAGGAGCATCCTAATGACACCTCAGCTGGTCGAAAAACAAAAAATCCAGACTTACTCTCCACTGGCACTGCATAAAATGGAAAGGAAAGGATGGCTGTCCACTCAGTTTCACAAGAAGAAATGTGAGAATGACCCAATATTAAGAATGCTAACAGCTCAATGCAACAGACTTGACAAGTTCCAAAGAGGTGAGAAATAAGAACTAGGTAATGACTGAAAAGCCAGTGACTGAAGAATTACAGATGTATTTACTTGCATGAACTTGTACACAGCACTTTGCACAAGAAATTAGAAGACTTGTTCCATCTTCTTCAAGGAAGGCATTGGGTGGGGAATAGTCCATGTTTTCTTCACTGTAAATAAAACACATCTCTGGAATGAGGGGCTTAGTTTTTTCTCTTGACATGGACAATTCATTAAATTTTGTCTCCCATCTAGTATCATTTTCTTCATTGCTTCTATCTGCCTGAAAAACACAACATTTCCACATGAGTGAAAAACATGCAAAAGAGCTCATTCATTCAGGCCACATCAATCCACTAATAACTGTTGCAACCACAGACTTCCAACTTATATCCTACCTGGGTTTTGGGGGTTTTTTATTTGGGGGAAAATGGGGGTTCAGGGAGGGAAGGGAGCAGTACTGGAGTTTGAACTCAGGGCTTTGTGCTTGCTAGGCAGGAACCTGAGTCAATACACCAGCCCATCTGTTGTTGTTCTTAATCCAATTTCTAGTTTTTTATCAGTGCTCCTTCTCAGACTCCCAGCCAAAAGCAAATCCATAGAAACAAGAGAATATTCTGAATGTATGCTCATACAAGAAAGAGATGAGCTACTTAACTGTGTTTGTCCAGAAACAGTTAATGGAATGAATCAATTCTATTGATGTGTTTTGCCTAGTTATTTGTACTAGGTTAAAAACTGCTTTCATTTACTGAAAAAATATTACCTGGTTACCCTTGAAGGAGTATTTTCAGAGACCCATTTTAATCGGGGAACAGCAGTGAAAGAGGTTTCTAAGGCATCTGCCTCTCACAAAGGCTTATATAAAACATCACAGAACTAGTGTATGTGACCAAGTAAGAAAGGATCATGTGCCAAAAAAAACCCCTAAAATAGCTCACCAAAATATATAAAAAATGTTTAGCACTTATTTGAAGACATAACTAATTATGCTTACTAAATTTGCTTACTAAAGCATAACTAATTAACCTTACTCTCTATAGACATCTAATATTAATAAATTTCCCATCTAATAATTTACCTGGAAATTTTTAGGTTATGGGAAAATTGGCAAATTCTTATTGACATAATAATCAATAAGAAGTTAAAATACAGGTTGGCAGAATGGTTCAGGACCTACCTAGCAAGTGTAAGGCCCTGAGTTCAAACTCTAGTATCACCAAAAAAAAAGAAAAGAAAAAAAGTTAAAACTCAAAAATCTAACGGCTAAAACAAAAATGTTTGTCACTCACCAGTGTCATATTCAAAAACATGAAGTAAGTAAACTACTTCTATCTATAAAAATCTAAAAATATGAAATATCATGCAGTCTTCTAAGAAACATCTGAAAAGAATAAATGTACTCTTACAAAAACTCTAAAAATGTGATTTTGAGCAAAGTATTTCTGATTCTTCTAGTGAAAGAAAAACCTAAAACACAATGTTCATATCAATACACTTTGTAATATATTCTACCCTAAAACAGCATATAATTCCATTCATTTGATTCCTAAAGATCATTTCTTCTGTGTGAGAGGTGAAGAATGTGATCCTGCCTGAGTTGAGAAACTGTCAGTATAATATGCATGGAATAATGATGGAAACAACTTCAAGCACAGCTGGCTGAGGGGGTGAACCGGATAACTGAGTTTCTATTGAGAACTGGCTGTGTCTTTTGCAAGTTCCACATGGTGAGGTGAAGAAAGACATTAAAAATTAGGGCCCAGGGCTGATATTGATATTGCTTAAGAGAACCATTTTCAAACTTAAACAGAGACCAGGTCTAAGTTCTGTATTTATAAGGCTCTATTTTTAAGCTTTAAGTTTGATGTTTCTTGATAAAAGGAGTAGAAAGGTTAGAATTACTCCTCCCTCGAAATAAACGAAGATACTAAAAAATGATACTGTCAGAAAAATGGGTTCCTAACAAGCATGTAGAAATTGTTTCTTGTTCTAGGAAGGCCATTAGCTAAAAAGCATTATTGAATTCAATCTGATGTGCATACTGGCCTACAATGATTAACAGATGACCTCATGGGTGGACAGTTACAAAGAAAATGCAATAGTGAAAGGATGTGTTGACAGTCACACCCTGAGTTACCTTGTAGTATGGCATGAGCAGAGTACAGATAGCACAGTACGGCTCCATTTTTGCTGTGGCTACATTGTACTCTTGCTCAGCCACAAAGTTAGGAGACTTCGTCTGCCAAAGATGGATGAGAGGTTTTGCCCAGGACTCTGTTTCTTCCACTTCTTCCTCAGTGGATGGAACCTCAGGCAATTCTGAGGGAAGAGGGCATGAAAATACAAAGAGCAGAGATCAAGGGAAAAATAATCACCCTATTTATAAAAGAAACACATATTCCAAACTGTCTGTGATATTGATCAATGCCAAATACCAGGCCTATTTTGTCTCTCAAATACATGCAGAGAAAAAGAATTAAGGGAATTTCCTTCTCATCCTCATTATCCTTCAAAGACTAGATGAGATCATAGGGACAGAAAATGAACCTCCCTTTGTCACCTTCCTACTCCTACCAGGAAACCTTATAACTTAACTACTTTGGCATTTTCTACCACCATGACACTGCCTGTGATAAAATAAGTCTATTGTCTGAGATTATCTTCTAATAGGGAATTCTCTAACCTAGTGACTTCCTTATCAATGCTTTTATGTCCTTCACCTAAAATAGTACATGGTTGAATGGACATTTATTAATTGGACTTCATTAAATTAATTTTTGTGTTCAAGAACCCATGACAAGATTTATAGAGCACCTATAATTTGCCAAGCAATGTACTGGCATTACATGGATATTAAAGAGATTTCTATGTCGTATCTTTTTATTTCTTCTGTATGATGCTCCTAGAGTATTAAGTCTCTTAAGCATGCATTATCTGTTAACAAAAAAGAAGTAGAGATCAACTCTACAAGAATACTTTGTGAAACCTTACAGAGCACAGCATGCTAACAGAAAAGAATTCCTCTGGCCTATAGCAGAAAAAAGTGTATCTCAGAACAAATGGCAGCAGCCACATTTTATGCTTAATATCTAGAGCTGTGACCCATCCTAAAATTCCTTCCCAGTATTGTCACAGTCTTATGAATAAATACTAAAGAATAATATCCTTAACTACAAAGCACTGGTAAACCACTGTGTTCCAGCCCTTGCCATCTTTGGCTTAGGAGTCAAAGCAGATTACAGAAATAGAACAATGGGAAAAGAATGAAAGAGACTAAAAAGATGTCATGTTCAAACTGAAGAAAAAGGAATGATATTATTTCCATGACAGTGGAATTGTCACTATTATTATCATTATTAGTATTATTATTACAATGGAAAATGCTTCGGACTGAGACAGGGAAGTAGAACTTGAAAACAAAAGGTCCCTATTCCTAATGAAGTAATCTGACTCCAAATGTAAATTGGTTCCACATCCTTTGCCTTACATTGCACAATAGAAGACATACTATGAGGACAAATGGTTGACAAATGAAGATTGGAGTGGAAAACAAAGATGGAGAGAGGAAGGAAAGGAAGGAGGGGAACTGATGGGAATGAAAGGATGTTACTAATACTCATTGTGTAACAATAAATTTACTGCAAGAGTTACTTTATTTGACAAAATGGAAACACACCTGATAACTGAAACACTTATGCATGAGGTTGGTTATAAGCATACATGACATTCCCAAGACATTACAGAGAGACAGGAAATACTTAATTTCTAAAGCCTGAAAAAGAATTAGAAAGAGGATGGTTTGCAGATGATGGAGTCGGGGAGAAGGTGGTTGTAGGCAGAGCTGTGACAGACATTCCAATTATACTCCTGTGACAAGGCATGATCTGGTAAAATTAACAGCCTGCCCTAAACCTTTCACAACACTGAGCTAATAGGTGACCCTCATCTATATCTCTTCTTGCCTAAAGATGACATCACACTCTGGCCCAAAGAGCATCTGCTTTCCACCATCATTGCAAAATCTTACAGCAACACTGTGCAGCACCAGTAACAGAGACCTGGTAGTGTAGAGACCCAGCACTGGATACAAATTCTCTCATGCACAAAGTTACATAGACTCCTTCTTCATCTATTTCAAGGTTTACTTTTTTCTTTTCAATACTAAAATAAAAGGGTATATGTAAGCTTTTTAATTCTAAAGTGACAAGGTTCTCTGTAATATATAAATATACATATTCTTAAAACAAACCCACCCAGTCATCGTACTTACCTTTTATCCCTTTGACAAACTATTGTTGCAATGTTTTATTGGGGCATAAGTTTGATGTCAGTTATTCAGATTTTAATATTGCTTGACAGTAAAAATACTGCTACACTCTGGAATCTATCTATCTATCGAGATGCTGAAATTTCCTCATCAAACTCTTCATTCTTTCCCAATCTCAAAGAACTCATTCTCGCCCTTGAGCCATACTACTAAAGCATAGACTAATCCTGGCTATTACAGATTTATGACATTCATGTAACTGGAAAACACAAACCTTTAGGGATCCAAGAATGCTCTAGGGGGAAAAGTCCCTTCAAGATATCTCAATATTTTTATAATCACATGATTATAAATAAAAACCCCTTCCTCTCTCAGCTCCCAAACACTATTCTCTACTCCTCTTCCTGGTGATTTTCAAGGTATCTTCATTGACTTTTGAAAAACACAATTTTGGGGGCCAGAAGCATGATTCAAGCAATAGACTGCCTGCCTCACAAAATGAAGCCCAGAGTTCAAACCCCAATACTGAACGCCCCTGCCAAAAAACCTTTTTAATGTTTTCTTTTATCACTTGGCATCATTCTGCCTAGGAACATACCAATTTGCCCATTCTCACCATTTTTTAAACTTCAGTTGACAGATGGACATATAAATATTTCACTATAACCTCTTGTACATAATTATACTATAACATCATACATTTTGTAACATTCTGCATAAAGAAAGATCAACCACTATGGAAAACAGCATGGAGGTTCCTCAAAAAACTAAAAAAAGAACTGCCATATGATCCACCAATTCCACTCTTGGGAATAAACCCAAAGGAATGTGAGTCAGGTTACAATAAATGCAAACCCATGGTTATTTTAGTATTATTCACAATAGCTAAACTATGGAAACAGTCAAGATGCCCCACTACTGATGAATGGATTAAGAAACTGGTATTTATATACAATGGAATTTTATTAGGCCATAAAGAAGAACGAGATTTTGTTCATTGTAAGTAGATGGAGAACATTATCTCAAGTGAAGTTAGCAATGTGCTAACTCATGTGGAATACAGACCTAGTACAAATATAGCAATACAGGTCACACTAAGGGGAGGTCACATACAAGAGGAAGAAGGTAAAAGAAGGAAGTTAAGAAGGTGAATACAGTTGATGTACTCTCCAAGCAAGAATTAATAATGAATTTTTAAACCAGCTGTAACCACCATAGAAAGGGACTAAGGTAGAAAGAAGAAAAATAGAGGAGATGAACCAAATCAGGCTATAATACATATATAAATGGAAGTGCCATAAAGAAACACTCTGTGTAGCTATCTTAAATAAGCAAAAAGGTCATTATTTTCTTTTTTTCTTATACAAAATCAGAGAACTGGAGGGTGAAACAGGTCCTGCATGTGTGTGTGTGTTGTGTGTGTGTGTGTGTGTGTGTGTGTGTGTGTGTTACCAGTGAGAGACAGGCAGAGGTGAGGAAATGGTAAAGAGGGGTAAACAAGGTGCAAATGTGACACATGTATGTAAATGGAACAATGATCTCTGTACAAACTATTCCAGGAATGGGGAGAAAGGGGATGAAGGAGAATGGTGGAGGGGGAGAATTCAAGTGTGATATATTTAATATATTGTAAGAACTTTTCCAAATGCCACAATGTACCCCTATGCAGCAAAACAATAAAAAAAATAGAAATATCTGCTTAAAAAAAAAAAAGAAAAAGGAACTTAGAGATTTGTTTTCCTAAAACTAACCTAAGACACAGCAAAGAGAATTTAGAATACACAGAATTTTTTAATGATGATAATGGGAACCACTGCTAGCGGGTCACTAGAAGGGGTCCACGGAATATAGCCTAACCTCCCAAATGTGAAGGTCCTGCCTAAAGGCCAGATACAGAATGTTGCCAGCCCAGGAGTAAGTTGCCCTGGATACAAGCAAAACAAAACAAAACAAAACAGAAGTGAAGACAACATTCTAAAATATGTATAAACTTCCCCTAACCCTTTTCTCTACAGAATTTATCTCATAACCCCTAAAAGAGGTAGAAAGTGCAAAACTATGTTTCAAAATATGAGGTAATTTAGTGACCCTTAAAGTGAAGATGTTTACATTTTGGAAAACAGATGACTGGGTACAACTTTAAGGAAATTAAAATTACATCTACATTAAGTTGGATAAAATTGCTGTTTTGGTAGGGTAAAACAAACTATCAAATTCTGACAATTTCATGTATTTCAACCTAACACAACAATTCACTTTTCTCAAAAGTAAATGAACCATTCAATTGTAATATCAAAAAGTGTTCGCCAGGGTTAAAGTGGTAGCACATATGCCTAACAAGTGTGAGGCCCTGACTCCAAACCCCATTACTGCCAGGAAAGGAAAAAACAAATAAAAACTGCTGTCAGATATTTTCTACAAGACTTTGAAGAATAGCAAGACATACATGAAGTCAAAAAAATCCAAGTTTTTGAAAAGAATCAAAAGTTTTAACTGCCATCTTGCAATCCCCATGCTTTCAGCACATCCAGATACCAGACCACGACTTCAGGCTGGCCACGGTTTCCAAAGTTACAAGATAATGTGTGAAAAGCAAAGAAAGCAACTGTACTATATAAATTACAAAGTAAGCATATTTTGCCTCTAATTCAATCAAAACCTGATTAACCACTAGCATAATAAAAGTGAGGTATGTTTTTTATCTTTATTTCCCATGTTTTCACTAAAGTCAAGACCACTGGGACTTCCAATAGAATTTAGTGACAGATAAGTCAAGCTCAAGAGAGAACACCCAACTATCCTTACAAAAGCAAATGCTAAATAGAATATTCATTTGGTCTTAGTGCCAATACCACCTAATATTTTTGTCCACATAATGCAGGAAAACACTGACCGTGACCTATCCAAAACCATTTCAATTCAATGTACTTAAAATCAGCTGAATTTGCCAGCTTATTACTTATACACATAAACATAACTATGCTTCTTATGAAAGTATATTACCTCAAGCTAGTAACAATTAATGGAACAAATAGAAAGGATCATTATGCAA